GCCAATTACCCCCCATTCCCTGTCCCAATTTTTCACACTTGTTATCTGGTCAGCCTATAAGGAAAGAGAGTTGATTGGGAGACAATGGATTCTGTTACACATTTGACTCCTAACACTTAGTGAACCTAGAAGAATCAAGATTTAGAAGGGCTGTGGAAGCTCTGCATTTAATCCCTAAACTGTTTTTATAAATCTTCTCAGGACATCGCTTTTTGTTTTTTAATTAACCTCTCAGAAAATCTGTATTAAACTGCTGTTCCAGGTGCTGCAGGATGAGAAATGGGCTGGGGAGAAATGGAACAAATAGTTATTTCTGTCCTCCAGGTGTATATGAAATGTTGAGAGAGAAACTATTCTTGCTATCATCCCAGTCTGGCTCAGCTAGGAAGTGCTAAAAATCTCAGACCAGTTTCTGCTGTTTCACTGGTCTAAATCCAATGCACAGACAGTAATTATCAAGTCCACTGAATTCTACAATAATTCTGGGGAGAAACAGTCTAACTGAAGGTTTAAATACACAGAGCTGTATTCTGAAATTACATTGAAGAAAACAGGTTTACTATAGCTTCACCCCAGCATAAATTAGTGTAGAATGTAATTCTATTTAAGTATTTAAATACATTTGCTTTCCTGGGCCAGATAATAGTCTTTATTTAGTCCTTCACATTCTAGATGTGTGGCTGCATAACCTTACACTTGTGACAATGGTTAATTCAATTTGCCTACCATTTGTTTTCCCATTTCCCTTCTAGTGTATAATTATGACTAAAACATATAGGGGTAGAATCTGATGTCCGTTTCATCACTGTAAACCTTGAATAATTCCAGTGAATTGACTCAGTGAATTTGACTCTGTGAATCTGAATTCAGTGGAATTACTCCAGACTTATACCAGTGCAAATGAGATCAGAATGTGGCCCACTATCCCCCATAAAGTGTTTATAATTTAAACTACTGAGGACTTCCTCATATGTGAAGCCTTTTTTTCCAGATGGCTCTGCTCTACCTAGTCATAGTGTAGCCAATTAGTTCATTTTATCATCCGTTTATCATTGTAGTATCGTGATGTTATGGTCAATTCATATGCTATTTCAAATGTAATCAATGTGTGCGAAATAGATTTGTTACTAGGTCATAGGCTTAACAATGCTTGATATGAGTGGGTGAACAATGAATAACCCTATGCCAGTAAAGTCACAAGATTACTGCAACAGATGTGCCAATAGGTAATGTAATAAAAAAACTAGATTGCAATAAATGGAAAGGTAATGTCCAAAATCACGAGACAGCTGATTGTAACATCATGGAATGTACTGTCCTGACCACAGGGTACATGTTGTACATAGGTGCTAATGAGCATAAGAGGAACTAAGAACAACTTAGGAAAACTGGGGCACCGCAATATTCATGGAGTATGGAAGCACAGATAAGGAAAAGAGGGTTGAAACCTTCATGCATATGCAAAAGGTGTTATGTATGCTCAGAACAAGATAAGAGATTCCCTATTTGGGTAAAAGTGGGAAGACCCAAGGGACAAGCCCAAGAATTGACCTCGCAGGAAACCCTAGCAGGAACGATCCCTCTATTGAGGATTGTCTATTGAGCGGTCCATTGGTATCTTTGAGGATGTGAGTTTGATTATAGTCTTAGATATTGTGTAGGATTTCTATATGCATGGGTAACTGTAACCTTACTTATTGATTTTTAAAAAACTTGTAGTACAGATAAGACATTGTACTTGTGATTGTGTCTGTGGTCACTATCCTTGGACTTTGAGTGCTCTTAGAGTCTCCAAATTTGAGAAAAACACCAGAGGTAATTTTCACCCAGTTGTGCTTGAAATTGTAGCAGTAGGAGCTAAACCCATGGTAGTTTAATACAAAATTACTACATTCAATTTAAATAAAAAAGGCTATAATAGTGAAAATTACCTACAGCTTATCCTTGACAAGTTCTCAGAAACAACTAAACAGTTTGGACTCACTATCAACCTGGACAAAACTGAAGTCCTCTTCCAACCAGCTCCCTCAACCACTACCCCTGAGCCAAATATAATCATTGATGGTCCAAAATTAAAGAATGACAATCAATTTGCATACTTTGGCAGTGTCATCTCAAGTGATGGTTCTCTGGATCAAGAAATATCAAACAGAGTTCAAAAGGCTTAGGACACTCAACCAACATACCATCAAACTCTCGACAAAACTGAGGATATACAATGCAGCAATGATAGCATTCCTTTTATATGGGTATGGAACATGGACAATTTACTGCAGCCACATCAAGCAACCTGAAAAATTTCACATGGGCTGTCTTTGCTCTCTTCTGAGGGTCCATTGGCAAGACAAAGAGTCAAACATTAACATCCTTGAAAGAGAAAAAACAACCAACAAGGAGGTGATGACTATCAAAGCTCATCTTAGATGGACAGATCATATTGTGACAGACTTCTGAAAAGTGTCCTCTATGGCTAGCAGAAACTCGGAAAGTGCAGGAATGGTGATCAACGTAAATGCTTCAAAGACACTCATAAGCAAAATCTTAAATCATGTAACATAATTATTGATAACTTTAAAGACACAACTAAGGACAGACCTGAATGGAGAGCAACACTTTGAAAGGGACAGACATGTAAAACTGATTGGAAAAAAGGGTCAAGCTTCATGCCGAGCCTTCAGCAGGAGCCTACGCATTCCTACGAGACATCTGTTTGCAACCTTGCTCCTCATAGATTAGACTATGGAGCCACAAGAGATGTTGTGACATCATTGTTGGACATGACAGACAGCCATACTGTAGACTTAAGGTATTATGAAGATCAGAAATTAGATTTATGATATTCAAATTAGGGCTGTCGAACAATTAAAAAAAATTGTGATTAATTGCAGTTTTAATCACACTGTCAAACAATAAGAGAATACCATTTATTTAAATATTTTTAGATGTTTTCTACATTTTCAAATATATTGATTTCAATTACAATACAGAATACAAAGTATACAGTGCTCTCTTTATATTATTTTTTATCACAAATATTTGCACTGTAAAAAAAATAAACAAAAGAAATACTATTTTTCAATTCACCTCTTGCAGTTACCATAGTGCAATCTCTTTATCATAAAAGTGCAACTTACAAATGTAGATTTATTTTTTTTACATAGCTACACTCAAAAATAAAACAATATAAAACTTTAGAGCTTACAAGTCCCACTCAGCCAATCGCTAAGACAAACAAGTTTGTTTACATTTACGGGAAATAATGCTGCCCACTTCTTATTTACAATGTCACCTGAAAGTGAGAACAGGTATTCTCATGGCACTGCTGTAGCATTGCAAAGTATTTACACGCCAACTATGCTAAACATTTGTATGCCCCTTCATGTTTTGACCACCATTCCATGAGCTCTGTAGGAAAACATCAAAAAATATTTGTAATACACTTAAATTGGTATTCTATTGTTTAACAGAGCATGATTAATTTAAGTTGAGTTAATTTGTTTTGAGTTAATTGCTTGAGTTAACTGTGATTAATTGATAGCCCTAATTCAAATACATGAATGTACTATACATGTGGATTCACTTGGTCTTTAACCTTTCAAGGCTTTTAGGCCTTGGGCATGATGGAATCCACATTTAAAGCAAAACTTACACCTGTCTTTGGTCTTCATTTACACTGTCCATTTTGCCTTCCAATTTATGTGGTTAGAAGTGAAAAGAGGCAGGATTTATTTTTTGTCTCTTTTTCAAAAGCAGGATTGAGCCACTCAACACAACAGAGGTAAGAAGCTAGATAATCATGTGTATGTCAGAAGATATGAGAGAACAGCACATCTAATCAATGACGACTATTGTCAAACTTGTCAATCCCCAACTGAGCAGATTTTTGCCGGTGTATCTGGCAACATCACAGAGTCTTATTACTGTGTTTTGTTAAGCACGTGGTAAAGCAACAAAACAGTATTGCATTATACTTGGTAAAAGAGTGCGAAGCTACAGTAAAATGAGTCTTTCAAGTGCTTGGAGGTACCTACTTCCAAGACTCTTGGGAAAATATGCTGAATAAGAACTAGCTATAGGGGAATTGGCAATGGTCAGGCTAGTCACAGATCCTGTCACAAGTATAGAATGCTTTAGAGAAAGGTGTAAAATCCCCACCTACCCAGAAGCAGGAGGTAGAGAAAAGAACGTTATTTGTATTAACAGCTCAGCACGTTAATGAATTTTAAAATGAAGGGAAGGGGGGGGACAGCAGTGGTGAGGATGCTAATCGCTATCATAGTCCTGTAACATTGGGTAGGGCTCCAGTTCTTTAGAACAAGTGTTCAAAGCCCAGGGCTATCCTCTAAAACGATTGGTAGCTCTGATTCAGGGAGTCCTTTTTAAAATCACAAAGTATCTTGCTCTGGAAAGATAGTTGTTTATCAATGAAAGTGCTATATCTGTTTAATACAGGCTATATCCTCTACTAGGACAATATTCTATGCACAGAGGGGTGGATTTAAAAAAAACCAAACTTATTGGAGCATCATCTCTAACTCCTGTGATCCTTTATACATGGAGACACGCGGTGCTGCATAGTAGTTAACTGATTCGCAATTCCTTATTTCTTGGTAAATAACTTGTAAATAACTTTAATTTTGATAAAATATGGGACACTAAAGTGGAGTAAAACGCAGGGAGCGGTGGGACTCAGATGAATGATGCCCCTCGCAAGGAGGCAAGGTTGAGAAGGTGTAACTGCCGAATAATGATTGTTTTCAAAATGACTGATTGGTTTTGATTAATGGTGGAAATCAATTAGTCCTAAGTGTTTGTAAGAGCTTATTTAAATGACAGCCCCCCTCAAGTGTCATCACGGGGCGGCAAATGTTAAGTACCGCTAATAATCTCGCCCTGGCTCCCTTTCTCAAGCACCAGCGATCCTTTCCTCCCTCCCTGGGAGAGGCGTGGTGGTGACAGCGCTGGAGCAGGGCCATTGCTCTCCTGCGAAGCGCCTGGCTGAGCGGTGAGCGGGAGGAATCCAGTCCGGGTTTTGGGGCAGGGGACTAGCGGGCTGCCTGCAAGGAGAGGCGAGTAAAGCAGGAACGCACCGCTGCCGACAGCTGGGGCAGAGCAGAGGGGACAGGCAGGCCCGCGCCGAGGGCAGCGGGAGCAGGTGGGGAAGCCGCGGGACTGGGGAGTCAGTGCCCCTCCAGAGCCGATTGCACCCGGGCTCGCCTGCCCCATGGCTGCAGCGCGCCTATTGCGCCGCCCCACTGCCCCCTCCAGCGGCTGTGTCCCCCTGTGAGCGCCGCCGCCACCTCCCGAGCCCCGGGTGTCTATGAGTGGCCGGCGCGGGGCCGCCGCCCTGAGCTGAGGCGCGCCCCGGGCTCCGCACCATGCAGGCGCGGCGCTTGGCCAAGCGATCCAGCCTGGGCAGCCGGCGGCGAAGCGTGCCGCTGGCAGCGCCCGCCCCGGATGGGGGCCGGGCCCCCAAGCCCGAGAGCGGCTGCTGGAGGCCGCCCCGCCGAGAGGGCTCTGCCGCGGCGCTGGAGGAGGAGGAGGACGAGGACGTGGTGGTGGAGGTGGAGGAGGAGGAGGATGAAGAGGAAGGCGGCTTGGGGAGCCCGCCTGCGCCGCTGCCCATCCCCGCCAAGGGAAGCCTGAAGGTGCGTCCCGGGCCGGGGGGCTGGAGTCCCGCCGGCCCCCTCCCAGCTAGGGAGGGTCTTAAGTGCCCAGCCCTGCCCTGGGCTCCGTCAGCCCCTGCTCCGGTGGGAGGCGCTGGTGGGTGTCCCGCTCCGGGGTGTCGCTGCCCTGGCCCGCGCTGCAGGCGGGGAGGGGTGGCGGCCGCTCCCTAGTCCGGAGCGAGAAGCGGCGCTGGGGGGCGGGGGCGGGCTGCCCCGCTCTCTGGGATGGGGCCTGGACGTGTGCGTCATGGGTGCTGCCCCCTTCCCGTGGTGGGGTGACGGAGCAGGTCGAGGGTTGGGAGAACTGGGGGGTTGGGGGCGGCACCCGTGACTCCACGACACCTGGGGTGTGTGTGAAGATGGGGAGCGTGCTGTCAATGCCACCCTCTTCTCTGGGGTTTGGCATGGGCGAAAGGGGAGGGGCAGGGGTGCTGCCCTTCTCAGGCTGGAGGAGGGGAGCATTGGGGGTGAGAGTTATTGGTGCTACTCTCTTCTTCAGGGCTGGGTGCACCACCCCCTCAATGCCCCAACCTGTTTCTTTCTCCAGGGCCAGGCATTGAGGGGGTTGTGGTGGATGCTGCTCCCTTCTTTGGTTTGGGTGTATGTGTTGTGGATGCCACCCTGTTCTCCAGGCTTGGGCACAGAGAGGGGCATTGTGTGTGCTGTCCCTTCTTCTGGGTGAGAGGTGCTCTTTTAGCGTAAAAATGCTATTGAAAACTGCGGTAATATACAATAGGAAAGCTATAAACTATGGAATCTCAACATGTGAAATAATCTGTTGGTGAGCTACAGAGAGATATTGTTGGCTCACTGCTGTTCCTCAGCTCTCTGAAACAGGAGGGTTAAGTCATGGGTGTAGAAAATGTGGAGCTGTTTTGCTGTTTATAACATTAATAGCTGTGAACCCCTTTTAAATCTGATCCTGTACTCAACAAGTACTTAAAGTAGTTGTGAGCTTTACTTTACTAGTGCTCAGTGTAGTTAACAACAAAAACGAGCGGGGTTGTTTTTTGTGGTTTTTTTTGTTTGTTTTTTGTTAGCAGTATAATTTTACGGGGAATTGTTGGTTTCTGAAATAGTGGGTACAGCCATTTTTCTGAAGTAGGAATTAGCATTTTATCAGGGATTTGGGAAAAGCAATCAGTCATGGGAGTCTTACAATTAAAATGGATGTGGTGGAGTCTTCTAACATTTTAGGTGGTTTAGAATACTTAATGAACCAAATATTCCCCTTGTTAAATGTATGTCTCAAGATTTATCGTCAGATGATGATGAAGGATTTGTAACTTAATTTTGACCATCGCTCTAGATTTTTCAGGAGTAAAGCTGGACATATAAGTGCCCATGTGTCACGTGAGACACGTTGCCAAGAAGTGCTAGGATATGAGGGTTACAAGTAGCTCTGGTAAGCGGCAATAAATGGGTGATTTAAAAAATGATTTTTAGTTACCATATTAATTGAATATTAAGATTTACTCAGTGTCTAGACCAGAAGTTTTCATGAGGTGCACAGAGGAATGTTCAGGGAGGTGAGCGGCAACGACAGCCCTCTGGTGGGGGGGGGGGAGTGGGAGGGGGGTTAGGGAGTTCCACCTCCTTCTCCTGACTTACCTCAGCAGTCCACCCAGCTGTGGGTGAGTGTCAATGCCTCCATGCCCAGCCCTCAGTCCGTCCCCAGAGACTGTCGCACATGCCTTCCCCCACCCCGAAAACCCAATGGGAGAGAGACAGGTATTTGGGGAGGGCACACCCAAAAATTGTAACTCAAAGGGCGGGACTCGGCTCAAAAAATTTGAAAACCATTGGCCTAGACCCTGTGTGGAGGCCTGATTCAAAGTCCACCAAAGTCAATGTGATTATCTCCATTGAGTTCAGTGTGCTCTGGATCAAGACTTGTCTGAGAGCTTTAGAAATGCCTGTGGGCCCTGAACCTGCAAAGGTTTATGCACCTGCCTAACTTTACTGCCATGAGTAGCTCTATTGATTTCAGTGAGACAACTTGTGGTAAATAATAGTAATGGTAGTAAAGTGAAGCATAGTGCATAAAGTAAGTCTTTGCAGGATCTGGGACACAGATAGGTAGAGATATTGTGGGACATTTATACTGAAGCCAGATAATTATATACACTTTTTTTTAAGTTTTAAAAATTCTATGTAATGATTTTCTAATAAAGAGGAAAAAGTATGAAAACCTTATTAACTTGTGAAAGGTGCCAGGTTGACATTAGTCCTTTGCATATCCACAGTAAAAAGCACAACAAAAGCAGCAATAGTGCAAGATACCTCTACGCTATTAAAGTGTTTCAATCCTTACTCAGAGAGATTGTTGTAGGAGTGTGAGGGTAAATCCAAGCAAGTTCAACCATTGGCCTGTCTGCAGAACCTTTCACAATGGTGTTAATTGGAGTGATAGTTTTTGTGACACATCATTATGATCTGGACTGAGACCACCAATCCATATTATTCAGATTTCCAAGCAGTTGACACGGTGTAACTCCTTGGTCACTACAGATCTATGTGACACTTGAACTGGTAATCTAGAGATGAAGGGCTCTGTGACTGATTACTAATCCCATGTATCACCTTATCCCACTGAAGTTAGAATCATGAAAGTCTTTCACACGTAGCATGGAAAGTGAATCTTTAAAGCATATGATATGAGGCAAATTACATCTTGTATCACACAGAAGAAGGAAACTAATGGGGAAAGTCTAAAGTGGAATACTGGTAAAATTAAATATTATCTGGATTATATAGCTATAAATTGCACACAATGTGGATTTCCTGAATATACTATTTTCTGTGTTGGTAAACATTCTTTTGAAAAGTGTGTTATGTGAATACATATGAAGGTATTCAGATGTGGGGGTTTTTGTCTTGTATTGATTGTATGTATGTGCCTAATGTTCACTGACAAGCATGTGAGCCTTATAAATCAGATCACAGTAGTAATTTTGGTTTTTGATCAGATACTGTTTAATGTAGTTTACTTGGTGTAAAGTGTTATGTCTCTTTCATTGAATAGTGGCTTTCATTGAGTAGTAACATAGATGTTGGTATATTAGAAGAGAGTATGCATAGTTGTCAAAGTGCATTGTTTCAGTGTTTTGTTCTTGACTAAATATTATAAACAAAGTAATGAGCTATAATTTAACATGTACAGGTATATAAGTGGGACTGCCCTTATTTATAGACTGATAAACATATTCCCCCATGAATCAATTCTCAGGGCTCTAATACATTAATTTAAAACATAACACATTAAAAATAAGGAAATAGACAAAATGAATAGAATAGAATTCCCTCACTTTGACCCCGAAACCGTTGGAGCAAATAGGCACTAAACATCATGCACTAAACATCAGAAAATTTGGATTCTTGGCAAATACGTAGCCAAGGGTCTGTGACCAAAAACATTCTACCTCCTGTTCCCAGAACTGGGAACTTTTAGCAAAACTGATCCCAGCTGATGTCAGCTATTGAGATGATGCATAATAGATATTGTTTCAAATGTAGTCAGGACCTAAATCACGATGGGCTTTATAAATAAAATTCAAAATCTGGAAACAATGGTTTTCACTGCATTCCATGCAATGCGGGTGCAATGTGTACATCTCCAGAGAACACCATTCAGTAAGAGGGATGCAACATTCTCATAGACACATTTTAGATAGCTACAAGAGACAATCAGCTTGATATTGAAGAATCAATGAATTTTACATTAGCTGAAGATTCCAAGTGGTCTTCATTGAATGGTTTATGTGGAGTGAATTGTAGTAGTCCAGTTTGTTGGTTGCATTGGAGTTAGGGCTTGGAAAAAATTACTTGATAGCTAATTACCAACTAGTGAAAACTGTTTGTGCCACCATACCCCCAAAGCTATGCCCTCTCTAATATAAAGAAATAAAACCATTGTATACTGTATTTAATAGTGACAACATCAGTCAGCTTTCTATTTAACATATTTTAAAATGTGGAGGGAAAGAGGATGACAGTGACATTAAAGAGAAGTCAAGAAGTCATATGCCACAATCAGTTATAGGAAAGGAAAAGTAGAGTGACGTCAGGGAGAGAAAGTAGATAGAACATGCAAGCAAAGAAGCTATAGTAAGTAGGCTTCATGGAAGATAAGGAAAGAATTAATTGACTACATTTGATTTTCACTAATGCTCATCTAAATATATTTGCTGAATCGTTTATAGACCTTTTTAAAAATGGCTTGATGTATAGTGGTGAAATTAATATATATTACTGAGGGTTTTTTTAATGAGTCCCTTTTACCTTCTCTCTTTTTAGCATGTGACTCATCATAATATTTCCTTGTCTTCTGTTATGGTGGGAAGTGTTTGGCAAATAGGTTGGTCTTGCAGCATGTTCTGAAGATGGCTAAGCTTTGGCTCAGTCTTTTTTTTTTTTCTTCCTCCAGTAACTTACTCCAGTGTAGAGCATTCTTGACCACAGACACTTTATCTCCAGCTCTTATGAGCTTCATCCTAGGCATCACTGCTGCATTTTCCCAGAAGAGCTCAGAGATAGAGATAGTCTCTGAGTTAGCTGGGACCTGACCTCATGATAGCCTTGGTTTTAATCTATAAGGATTTGCACCCTCCACTTCCTTTCAATGCCAAATCAAAGTACAGGTAGGATGTGTCCTGTTGGGGAAGTACACCGCCACAACATCCTACATAAACTGAAATCTCTGTCATTTCCACCTTTAACCCCAGATATAATGAATGGCAATAGTCCAGTCTGGAGGTGAAAAATGCATGGGTCACTGTGGCCAGATCTTGCCCAAGAGGAAAGAACTGGAGGTGGAAGAAAGCCTCGGGCGGGGACACTTTATGCCAGCTGGAACCTAGAAGAGGCACGGGGGTTGTATGTGGTGGGAGAGAGAGATGGAGACTAAGGGAATAAAGGGGGTTAGCGAAGTGACCTTTTCAAAACCTTAAAGATCTTGTTTAGTGAAGTTTCCAGGGTCTTGT